TTTCTAAACTGTTTGAAACCGTGAAAGTCAGCAGCTTACACCGGAAATGGCTGACCCGGTTTGTTTTAGATCGCCGTATTTTCGCCCGACTTGTCAAAAATAAAACATCTGTTGTTCAAATTATTGCATTTTTTACTTGAGTCATACAATTTTCGAAGTAATTAGGGTATTTTAATTTGCTGACTTTCGTTACAAAAGTCGAAATTCTGAATTTTCCAAACTGCTTGTAAACGTGTGACAATCGTCCGACAACGAAAATGGCTGACCCGATCTTTTTTTGATTGCTTTATTTTCGCCCTATTTCTCAAAAATAAAACATCTATTGTTCAAATTGTTGCATTTTTTCTTTCTAAGGTCTATGGTTTATTTCATCAGGGTTATTGGATGAAATGAGAATAGTAGAGTTAGATTTATTGGGGGAATGTAAACAAACAGTGACTCAACTGACGTATGTTTATGTCGTCGCCGATGTTGTCGGAGTGCATGTGACATTACTTGAAACCGAACTCGCACTCGTCATGTGTGAATATCAACAAAGGACGTAGAATCTCGTACACATTAACTGTCTATTTTCCATTCAATGCGAGATCCCGCGTTAAGCGTGAAATCGATTTTAATAAAAGGGCAAACAAAGGTCATAACGCCATAGTGACGTCAACATATCGATTGGGATTAGAGAAACGCGAAAGTATTTTAGGGATATTTCCACGCTCTAAACTTTTGATGATGGTCAACCTTGATGACGTAACGGTATCTCAACGCCACATTCCCCTTTCACGCGATACACGAGATCTCGCAGTAAACAGAAAACGTCTATTGACAAATACATGTGCAGTACTGGTAAACGGCGGAACAAAGCTCTAATAATTGTTTTAAATATTGTACCTTGATCATCAACATTTAAAAAAGAAACTTTTCAGTATCTTATCAAACGATTACTACTATATTAACAAAACATGTATAGCCTAACAATGTTAGCATGAAATATCAATACAATTATTTGATCATGATCACAAATTTCATTGTCGCTTACAAAATTATTTTCCTTCGACCTTCATACATAAATTGACTATCTTCAATGCATCCACTCACCTCCCGCAAAAGCTGGTCATGAATCTGTGTCAATTTTCCCAGTGGAGAGGTCTGGAAGACATCCTCTAAGGTATAGTACATCGGAAATGAAAGTAACGAATCTAAGGAACCTTGATAACTGGCTACAAAATCGGTTCTCCAGTCAGATGCCTCTCCCAGAGTGAAAGAATCGCTAGCTTCATCGACTTCTGCCCAAAAATCTTTGGATATCTAAAAGTAAATATAAGGGATATGTTTTCTGTTTAGTGTCGCATTTGTCACTTGCACCCACATGGGAAATGCATATTTTCACATATCGGTTATTCTCCATACAGAGTCACGTATTTTATTGATTGGCAACAATTCACACAATTTTTACTTTAATGTATTCAATGCACGACAGATAAACGAAGAAAATGTCATTTTAGAGCGATCGTACTGCTGTTATGACGTATTAAAGAACCTTCCTTTATTCTATTTTAACCCCGGGGGGTCACTCTATATTAAAACCTTACACCATGTGCGTTCTTGATAAAAAATAATAGGCCCCTAGGGCTGGCAGCACATTGGTAAACCATACCCCCTATTGCGGGCGCAATGTAAATTTAGTACCCCCTAGAGCAGATATGTTGAAGAAAAAACCACCCCCTATTTCAGACACATATTGAGAACATCCTACCCCATATTGCGAGCATTCTATGCCGTTTTTTGCAATCAAGTGGAGTATGATCAACTCAAACAAGTTACTATGTATGCAACTCCTGTTGGTGTCATTCATTGTTAGATGAAGAAAGATGAGAACTATTGACATGATTGTGATCATTTATTTGATAGTTTAATACACAATGCATACGACTTTGCCAGGATTCTTATTCCATCAGATATCATTGCGCAA